ACTTTGAAAACACATCAGATCTCAATGGGGGAAAAAATCATGCAGTTTATTTCTACTGATATGGACTGGGTGATGTGTTAGGAACAACAGGATGCCACATCGTTTGATGGAAATGAGAATTATCAACCTACAGAGGGCTGAATTCAAAGACACCCCCAAAATTACACCGCTCTGTGCACACGGGAGGAAAACTGCAGTATGATGCTCCTGGTGCTGTTAGGGTTCTTTATTCTGACACGATGCACGGTATCAATAACATCTGGAAGTTTCTTGGCACTCTCAGGAAGCAGCTCTTGGCAGATTCGAATCACCTCTCTCCGTAAATCCTTATCTTCCCCACGCTCTGACGCTCTGTGTAACTTTAGGTTCCACTGCCACTGAGAGTATCTTTCCATTTCTGTGATGCGTGACTCCAACACATTAACGTGTTTCTTTTTATTCGTCCAGAGCTTGTTCAAGTCCGATGAGAACATTAGAATCTTTGCGCCTTCGGTGTCTTCCGTCCCGCAGGCTTCCCCGAGCCTTTTCTCTTTCCACTTGAAATTGACATTTTACACAGAAGCAGTTTCTGGGGTTTTACGTGGACAAGTAAAAGTTCATATAGTTTAGAAGACAGTAAAGTTATGTCGTTTAAAGCAGGCATCCCCAAGGGCGGTCCTCGAGGGCCGCTGTCCTGCAGGTTTTAGAGGTTTCCTTGCTCCAGCACAGCTGATTTTAATTGAAAGCTGATTAACAGGCTTTTGCTCTACTGCTATCATAATCAGCTGTGCTAAAGCAGGGACACCTCTAAAACCATCTTGGACCCTCCCAAATATAGTAACCCCTCCCTCCTGCCATCTTCCAGCAGTGACGTCACGGTGCGGTAAGCCTAGCGCCATTCTTCCCTCTTTACAAGCAAAATCAATGGGAACTACTAGACACATCTGCAATCAACAATTATTGAAGATTTCCAGAGGACTTCACCATTGAAATTCACCAGAGCTAGAGTGAAACTGACAATGCCCACGTGCATGGCAGCTGGATGTTGGAATATATGGGGTAAAAGGGGAAAAAAAGTTATTTGACCTTACCAACTTGAAGAGGGAGGATTTGCCATCGAACTTCTGGCCAGAGAAAAAACACGTAATATGTAGCCAACATTTGGAAGAAGAATGTTTTCAAGATGACTTGGATAATAGCGCGTTGTGACAAACACCAGATACAGCACTGGGACTTCATCAACAGCCGATACCGCACCGTGACGTCACAAACCAGTAGGTGGCAGTAGTGTTCTTTGACAAACATGGAGGCCTCCAGTAAAGCACGTTCACATGAACATTACTCTGAATTAAAAACAGTTATCATTTATTGAACAGTGTGTAATAATACATTTCATATTTAACATACTTTCAGAAGTTGTAATTCTGAATATGACCGGAGTTTTCCTTTAAGCTGCACGGTAAAGAGGGGAAAAAAAACTTCTAAAGAAATTATTGCAAACTCCCCTGAAATGAGACTTCTTCAGGTTATAACAACCCAGCCTGGTTACAGATAGATGTAAATATTGTTTTGATACCCAGTGCAATAAAGCTATTGCACTGGGTATAAAATAAAAAAATAAATGAAAAAAACAGTTTTTTGTGCAGGGTATTAAATACTAATTGCACATTAGATATTGCAGAAGTAATTGCAGTTATAGTGTTGCATTGTAGAGTCTGGTTGCAGCAGGGACGAATGACCTGCTGTAGGTTATAAAAGTGTTTCACTAAAGGAGCTATTCAGCTTCTCTACAGTCTGGTGAAAAGGCTGGAAGGTGTCGTCCATGATGGTAGGGGACATTGCAAGATATGCCAAGGATCATGATAGTGTGTCAAATTCTTTGGTTTATTAAAAAAAACTGTTAAAAATTTTAATTTGTAAAAAAATGTTTTCCTTTCATGTTAAAATGATGGTATATAGTGCGTGATATAAAGAAACAAACAACTAAAATGCAGATAAACATGGTTTCATCATGTCCCATGATGACGTCAGCTCCCGTCTGAGCTCCAGAACGTCGTCTCTATTTCCCGATGTCAGTAAATTATCAGCTAGCCTTTCAGCATTTTTAAACATATAAATCAGTTGCATGAAATGCAGTGCTTTCTGGTCAGTTTGGGTGGAAATATTTCAGGGTTCAATTTTATGCATTTCTTTTTTCTTCGATTACGACAGACTGGCATTTTTTTCCTCTAAGGATTGAACTCTTGGGCGGCCTACGTACCAGAAGGGGTAAGTTGACGCTATTTTCGACATCAAATTTAAAACCGATACTTGGATCAGGTCTATAATTGGCCACAAACTTTGTATTACTTTAATATGTATATTTCATTGAAAATTTGAATGCTGCCATTTTCTATTCTTATATTCTTAGTATACCTGCTTCAAGTGTTAATGGGATCGAATTAATTCTTTTTTTTTTCTTACTTTGCAGGGTAAAACCAAATATTTGGACTCATCAGCCACTGAAAAATGAATTTGGTGAAGACCAACTGAGATGTGCCAATATCCCAGTGGTCTGTACTGTGGGTCATTTAGCACCGAGCTAAGGCCGGGGCAGACCAATATATGAGCTTTGAGGCATCTAAATATGTTTCTAGCATTTTATAAATCTAATGCAAAACCTTATCTTGTCCTATTTGATCATTATTTTGTTTTAATTATTTGTTCCTGGATGTTTTTTGTTGTTTAAAGTGTCCTATGCAGCCTTCCTGCACTAAGAAGAAGTTATGCTCCTTTCAACCTTTTTGTTATTTTTTCTTTTTCTTACATGAGGATAAACAGAACTGGATAGATAAAAGAAAAATAGATGATCTATTGTAAATGTATTTATTTTTGTGAAATAAAATCTGAAAAGTATGGTGTTCATGTGTATTTACAGGCCATTTCTGTTTGGTCATAGCTCTATCGTCTATTACCAGGCTTTTAGCTAGCAAAGCGTACGGCATACATTGTACGCACTAAACTAAAAATGTTAGGAATTACCCCCTCCCCCCCTTCTAGATTACAGGACCCAAGAAAAAAAAAAAGCCCAATTTACTGCAGCAGATTCCCTCACCATCTGTCAACCACATGTCTACCCCAAGACCGTAACTCCTGGACTGTTTAAATTATCCTAAATGTACCAGAAAGCAGAGAAAAAGACTTGCAACCCTACAGTCCTAATTATGGTACCTGTAGGTCTTCAGCCGCGATGTGACTATCCAATCACAGACCTGATTCGGTGGTGCATCAGATATTGGTAAAGTGAGATTCTCAGGAGTGACAGCGGTGACGGACACATGAAAAGATGGAGGGCCAATCAGGAGCTTGTGGGTGGTCTAAACCGCTTGGTCTTAGTGCTCGAGTGTCTGTGTAATGTAGCGTAACAAGTTAGCCCTTTAAGCTAACTAGCGTTTTTGATCACTTGCATACCCCTTACAAAGATACCCTTACATTTGACCAATTAGATGAGCCCTTGAATGAGATATTGCCTTCTGTGAATTAAGTTTAAAAAAGGTAAAACCTAATTGAAAAGTTAAAAAGTTAATAAGCTTAGGTAACAATTATATTTAGGTTTATAAGTGCCAGTATCAGCAGTTAGCGTTTCCTGTTATTACATTGACAATAATTTTTGCCATCAAAATATTCCTGGATTTTTAATCCTCTATTGAGAAGATTCTTCTCGAAATTTAGGAAATAATCTGCCGATGCAGTGACAATTGCAATTCTATGAAAAAAAAAAAATGTGTGTATATATACGTATATATATATATATATATATATATATATATATATATATATATATATATATATATATATATATATATATATATATATATATATATATATATATATATATATATATATATATATATTGTGAGACTTGGTTACATGGACATTTTTTGCAGTCCCTTATGCATATCATAATACAAAATTTTTCACAAGAAATATTAAAAAATAAATATCCAAACAAGGTCTAAAATATGCATATTTGCCCTTAAACTGAGCAGGTTAATAAGATAATCTGCTAAAACAATGAATATTTAGGCTCCGAAACTTAGATTATTACATATTATCCACTTGAAATAAAATAGGTAGGGATTTTTTTTTTTTTTTTTTTTTTTTATGTAAATAATCTTATTCCTTTAATAGATTGCCCCACAATCCTGGTTGAATCAAGGGAAAATACTTTTCAGTTTTAGAAATGTATTTTCAAAACTGAAAAATATATTTAAAAAACGAGTGTATGAGTGTATGCGTTCAGTACAATTCAATTTAGTTTATTTCTATAGCGCCAGTTGACAATGTGTTATCTCAAGGCACTTTACAGTTCACCAGATCATCAAGTCAGACTGATTCAAAGTTTCCTATCTAAGGCAGGGGTGTCAAACTGGTTCCAGAAAGGACCGTGTGGCTGCCAAGCAATAGCTCACCAGACTCCAGTCATCTCATCAAGGGAATCCAGTCTGAACATGATGACTTGATGAGATGACAGGAGTCTGGTGTGCTATTGTTTGGTTAGAAAGAAAACCTGCAGCCACACGGCCCTTTCTGGAACCAGTATGACACCCCTGGTCTAGAGGAAAACCAGTTGATTGCATCGACTCATTGACTCAAAGGCAATCCCTCACACTAAGCATGCTTGTAGTGATGACTACAGTATAAGCATGCTTGGTGTAAGGGAAAAGCTGTAGACAGTGGAGTCACATTATTAGAACTCAAAATCAGATTTTCAGAAACTGGCAGACTTAAAAAAACTAAACAAAAATATAAAGAGTCACACTTCACTAAAGTAGGTTTACATGGAAAGCCCGTCTAAAGAGAATATACGTTTCTTGTTTCTAAAATAATCATATACTCTGTGCCAAAACTGCTCAGCATGTCGGCACTTCATTAACTGAGGTATTCAATACCAACATTAACCTGAAATGTCCTAATATTTCAGGTGTAAAACACTATATTTTGTGTTCTGGCTTTGGCATTTCTTACCACATGACTGCTTTATATTCCATTTAAATGTTTTATATTCACTTTTGTTGCTCATTTAGCAAAGAGCTCAGGACAGAACAGGTCTGTTAACATGCACAGAATAGCTTCAATTAGACCATGCCAAGCTGAATTATCAATATTTTTAGTCTCCAGTGAAGTTCAAAATTATGAATCTGTATTACAATATGTGTTTTACTAATTTATTTCATAACTTATTTACGTTCTGCAGCGTTCTTATTTACATGAAAGTCTCCTCTACGTGAAGTAAATCCAGAATAATTTTCATGCATTATTAATATGACCATTTCTAAGCGTTTACCTGTTTAAGAAATGGACCAACCAGGAAAACACAATTAGACCTCTTTATACCTCCCATATCAGCTTCACTCATAATAATGGTTGTACAAGTTTTAACTTGCTTAGCGCTATAACATTAATTCCGAATACTTTCAGCCCCACTGTAGCAACTTCTCTGTAGACCTTTGTACAGTGGGAGGCAACCAGCAGATTGTCCCTATGGCAGAACGGCAATACAGTCAAGCCCAACAGTGGAATCCGTCAGCTGTGGAACGTCATCCTCAAGGAAACAGGTCTGTGTGTGGATTATTATTTTCTTATCTAGAGCCGTAAGACTGATGTACTTTTATTTCATTTCTTGTGTTAAAAATGTTAAATTATTCATTTGTAGTGACTTGGCTGGAGAGGAATTCCTAAGATGCCTTGCGGCTAACAAACCTCTACCGCACTATCTTAAAGGAAATAGGACATACGATCTTCTTGACGCGTTAAAGCCTGGTAAAGACCTGAGTGACGGAGCAAAAGTAGATCAACAGTTTCAGAAGCATTTTGCTAGGAATAGGAGCCGCAGCCGAAGTAGTGACAGGAGTCGAGGCAGGTCTCGAGGCAGGTCTCGAGCCAAAAGCCGAGGAAGGAGCAAAAGCAGAGGAAGGAGCAAAAGTCGTGTCCGTGGGAAGAGTCAAGCTAGAAGCAGAAACCAGGCTTGCAGTCGAAGCAGAAGTCGAAGCAGAAGTCGAAGCAGAAGTCGGAGCAGGAGTAAGAAGGCCAGCAAACGAAGTAAGAGCAAAGTCAGAAAGTCAAGGTCTCTTAGTGCTAGTAGCGAAAAGAGCCATGGAGTTGAAAAGAAGAGAAAGAACGGCCCTGTCCAAAGTAGCGGCAGCAACATTGGCGGCAGCCGCAACAATCTGACCGGGAACAGTTTGTTGGAAGGACTGAAGATGGTTATAAAAAGCAAAGATTTGGAAGAACGGTTACCAGCGCTAAAAGATGCCCTCCTTGGTATCAAGGTAAGAGTCTTTTACGACTTTACAATTTCCCCATATGTCATTACGCTGATTTAAATTGGTTTTCTTAAACCTTTAAGGGTATGTTCCCACTGCAACCTGAAGTTACCCAATCCTGACTTTTTTTGCCCATATGCGACCTGGATCAGATCAGTCTGAACAACACAGATCCGATGTGTTCCAATGCGATCCCAGGCCAATTGGCTCTATGGTTCTGAGTCCGATACAAATCGGTCTTTTCAAATGCGATACGAGTGCAGCCCGTATTACTCTCAGAATATACCATATCTGGTTTTGCGTTAGATCTGACAGAAAATTGTGTCGGACGAGGTCGTTGCGTTTAGCGCTTATTGGAAGTCAATGCGGATGATTTCCTGCAGGGGGCTACGTGGCTCCAATTAAGATAGAGACCAGGTCTATTTTAGTCAGACTATGCAGCAATTCAGCAGCAATTTTATGGGTCTGACAGGAAGAGAGACGCAGTTACAAAGTAAAACACCTCCGCTTTGGGGGAAAATACAAAATATTTCTGTTAATCTCATGGAGTAGGAGTCAGTTTTGAGTCACACATTGAGTATATAGTAAGCAGGACAGACTGGTGCAAAAACGATGAACAAAACATTAAAATAGAAAACTTTCCCCATGATATGAGTTCAGGAGGATAGAAAACGGATAAAGTAGTGATCCTCTTTGAGCCTCACAGAAACCATAATAACGAGGATCAGACAGAGCAGGTAAATGCAGCGTATCTCTCTCACCTCTTTATGAAAAAAAGAAAGAAAAACTTGGATAAACTTTCCATATCTCCAAGAATCTCCTCTACCTCAGTCAGCATAGAAATAATCCCATGGCGTTTATTGCTGTGTTTTTCTTTTCTAAACTCTCCTCCTCTTGCATGTTTCCTCTGTCCATAGCGTTCCTTGACAGCGTCGTTTCTAAGTCACCAATTTAGTGCTACTTGGTCCCAATGGAATTTCCCATTGGGAACCTACTAGCATTAAGTTGCTAACTGGTTAACAAGATGCTTCAGAGAAACCGGCCACAACTAAACTTGCTTGCAAACCTTCCGCCACAACAATCCCGCCCCCTTGATAAACGACCAATCACAATCACTCTATTCACTCGTGTAAAGTCGTGCACCACTCGGGAGAATTCGGAAATGAAACATTTGGAACAGCAGTTTCCCTGCGACTTTATTGCCTCTTTAACATAAATCCGCCAGACCTAAAAATGATTTTAAGCGTGACTTAAGTTATTGTTTTAGTTTAAGATCTATAAAGCCTTAAAGATAGACCTTTAAGGAATTAAGTCTCATTGAGACTATTTTTGTCCAGACAGAGTTCTTAAGAATCGATAGGAGCCGGAATTGAAAAGAGGATTCGGAATCTGAACCCAAATTTTTCAAATTCAAACATTGCTGAGCCCTAATCCAGTGGTTCCCAAACTTTTGTCAGATTTTAAAACAAGGTGTTTGCCTCCCTTTCCACCAAGCTTTGACTGTTCAACAAATAATAGTCAACTGTAGCAAACCATAATGCAATAAAATGATTTTTGATTCCCACTTACTGGAAATCACTGAAATAAACAGGGATTTTATTCATTCTTCATAACCCAGATCTTTCCATTTAGTCATTGTAGGTAAATATTTTTATTTATGCGTTTTTATCTTTTTTTGTTTTGTTTTTTCTGCACAGGCATCTGATGAAACCAAAAAGGTTGGGAATATCACTGCTGAGTTCAAGGTTCAAGAGCAGAAAAGTCAGGAAGTTTTGCCATTGTTGGAAAGCGACAGCATGTTGCTTCCTCATGAGAGAGTTGGAAGCGACTTTTCTTGGCTCAACGACAAAAGTGAGGAGGACCTCTCTGCTCTGAAAGCCAATGAGTTGGAGGATGAAGAATCGTTCCTGTATGGGACTGAAGCCTCTTCTCAGAACACTGGCCATGACACGGGGGAAAAGATCAGTAGTTCTAGTATGGGCGCTCACCAGAGCAAGTCTCTGTTCAGTAACCTGGTCGATCCTAAAACCCCCCAACAGATGGCGCTGTCTGCCATCTCCTCTGTCAGTCTGAACAGCACTGAATGTGAGAAAATCAAGAGTATCTTAAACAACATGGGTGGAACTTCAGATACCGGCAGGCTGTTGAAGACTCCAGGCCAGAAGGAGGAAAATTATGCAACAGCCGAACTCTTCAATTCAGACGCCGCCGCGGCAACACTGAGTGACCCAAGTGTACGGAAAGCTCTGGAGTCTCTGCAGACTTTGATTAAAGGTCAGCGTCTTCTATTCAACCCATCCTCTTTTCAAGCTCTTATTTTTTTTTCTGAATTTTGTCTGGCTGTTGGCTGTTCTCCACGCAACCAGCATCCTCAGCATTACTCTTTACCAGAACTTTTCTATAGTGGCAGCCAGGCAGGGTTAGATGAGCACCGAGGGGCAGCCAAATTGGGACAGGCTCCAGACCCTCAGGGTCGATCTGCACGGTTCCAGCAGATAAATAAACCAGCACTACATCCGTATTTAAGATGACCTAGATTATCCTAAAAATATTCTTTCTTTGCTAATAAGGAAACACATATATTTACACATCCATGCCATCTAGATTAAAGGTATAGCGAAAGATATTTCAGCTTTAAATTCTCGGGGTAACATTTATTTATTGTCATTTGTCAGTAAATATCCTCTATGGTCTTATCAATAATTATTCTGTCTGTTTAATATTTATATAAACATACCTACATTAAATAAATGTAGTTCTTTGTTCCCTTAACTAGAAACATTGACTATCTATGTTTTACTGATGTATTTTTTAATTTTTTTATTTTTTACTCCTTACATTTTAAAAATAGACTTGTTAGGTTTGTTTTATTTCAGCTCATTTTCATTATGGCCTGTTGGTATTTAAAAAGAAAATAAAAACCCATAAAAATAATTAGTTTTATCCAGGCAATTTCTTTGTGGTTGGACTGGGTGCTGCCCCAACTTGTTGTTCACCACATGCCAAAATAAATAGTTTTTCCAGATGATGCAATGTGACACTGTTACCATTAGTTATAAAACTAAGAAAATTAAGTTTAAGGAAGTTATCATCCAGAATTGTAAAAAGTTGTTCCTTAAATAGGGTAGAGCAGTAAAGCTTCTGTCCTTAAAGTCGTAAGGAAATCATATTTAAAAGTCAAATAATTCTGGCTTAAACATGTATATAAATGTACTCTTAATCAGACGATGTCTTAAAATTTAGAAAATTTCTATTATAAAAAAAAATTCTTAAAATCTATGTTTCTTTTTCCGTTTCTTTTTAGCCTGAACGTCTAAATTCGGCGAATCATATATCAACGGTCCTCTGTCAATCAAATTTTTTCGGTCATAGCATCTTGATTCATATGTTGCAGCTAATATACGCAATGGTTGAAATCAGAATCCTTTCCTTTCCCATTGAGTTCCGTCCCAGTGTTCACAGGGATGGACGTCTGTGTCTTCAGCAGGCGTAGAGCTAACAGAACTGGCAGCGTCGCGAGGCAAGGGCTCAAACATGTACGGCTGTAAGCCTTCTACACCAAACCAAGCTTCTGCCGCCCTGGCGTCCTCTTCCACAACATCTTAGTCCCCGCTTTCCTGACGTATGACGGAGGAGACTCATCCACGACCTCCGACACTAAACTCTCCTCCTCTTTCATGTTTCCTCTGTCCATAGCGTTCCTTGACAGTGTCGTTTCTAAGTCACCAAATACTTCGTTACAGTACTTAAGTACACTTTTAGGTATCTATACCTTTCTCCAGGGGTCTTCAACGTTTTCCAGGCCAAGGACCCCCAAACTGATGAAAAGATGGAGCGGGGACCCCTAATTACAGGTGCTGGTCATAAAATTAGAATATCATGAAAAAGTAGATTGATTTCAGTAATTCCATTTAAAAAGTGAAACTTGTATATTATATTCATACATTACATACAAACTCATATATTTCAGATGTTTATTTTGTTTAATTTTGATGATTACAAATGACAACAAATGAAAATCTCAAATTCATCATATCAGAAAATTAGAATATTACTGAAGACCAATAAAAACAAAGGATTTATAGAAATGTTGGCCAACTGAAAAGTATGAACATGAAAAGTATGAGCATGTACAGCACTCAGTATTTAGTTGGGCCTCCTTTGGCCTGTATTACTGCAGCAATGCGGCGTGGCATGGAGTCGATCAGTCTGTGGCACTGCTCAGGTGTTATGATAGCCCAGGTTGCTCTAATAGTGGCTTTTAGCTCTTCTGAATTGTTGGGTCTGGTGTATTGCATCTTCTTCTTCGCAATACCCCATAGATTTTCTATGGGGTTAAGGTCAGGAGAGTTTGCTGGCCAATTAAGAACAGGGATACCATGGTCCTTCAACCAGGTACTGGTAGCTTTGGCACTGTGTGCAGGTGCCAAGTCCTGTTGGAAAATGAAATCTGCATCTCCAAAAAGTTGGTCAGCTGCAGGAAGCATGAAGTGCTCTAAAACTTCCTGGTATGTGGCTGCGTTGACCCTGGACCTCAGAAAACACAATGGACCAACACCAGCAGATGACATGGCACCCCAAACCATCACTGACTGTGGAAACTTTACACTGGACTTCAAGCAACGTGGATGAAGTGCCTCTTTTCTTTTCCTCCAGACTCTGGGACCTTGATTTCCAAAGGAAATGCAAAATTTACTTTCATCAGAGAACATGACTTTGGACCACTCACCAGCAGTCCAGTCCTGTTTCTCTTTAGCCCAGGCAAGACGCTTCTGACGCTGTCTGTGGTTCAAGAGTGGCTTGACACAAGGAATGCGACAGCAGAAACCCATGTCTTTCATACGTCTGTGTGTGGTGGTTCTTGAAGCACTCACTCCAGCTGCAGTCCACTCTTTGTGAATCTCCCCCACATTTTTGAATGGGTTTTGTTTCACAATCCTCTCCAGGGTGCGGTTATCTCTCTTGCTTGTACACTTTTTTCGACCACATCTTTTCCTTCCCTTCGCCTCTCTATTAATGTGCTTGGACACTGAGCTCTGTGAACAGCCAGCCTCTTTAGCGATGACCTTTTGTGTCTTGCCCTTCTTGTGCAAGGTGTCGATGGTCGTCTTTTGGACAACTGTCAAGTCAGCAGTCTTCCCCATGATTGTGTAGCCTATAGAACTAGACTGAAAGACAATTTAAAGGCTTTTGCAGGTGGTTTGAGTTAATTAGCTGATTAGAGTGTGGCACCAGGGGCCATCAATTTTGAACCTTTTCACAATATTCTAATTTTCTGATATGATGAATTTGAGATTTTCATTTGTTGTCATTTGTAATCATCAAAATTAAACAAAATAAACATCTGAAATATATGAGTTTGTATGTAATGTATGAATATAATATACAAGTTTCACTTTTTAAATGGAATTACTGAAATCAATCTACTTTTTCATGATATTCTAATTTTATGACCAGCACCTGTATATATATTGTATGAAATTGTGTTCTATCAAACTGCTCTTATAGTCCCTCTATTATAGATGGAGTAATGTAACTAAAGTAATCCCTCCCTGGGATTATTAAAGTATTTCTGATTCTGATTCATGGTTGATGGGACAGGTGTTGTGAATGAAACGGTGCCCAGCTTGAAAGAGCTCCTGTGTGTCGCTGAAAGTGAGCATTGATGACTGAAAGACATCTTCTGCCTCCATTTATCTGTTTACTACAGTGTGTTGAATTCATGTTAATGTGGATCTAAAAACATTTCAATTCAGGAGGGAATATTAAAAAAAAAAATGAATCAACCAAAAGTTTCGCGACCCCCATGCAGTACCTCCGCGGACCCCCTAGGGGTCACAGACCCCCTGTTGAAGACCTCTGCCTATTACTTATTTTTCTTCCTACTTCTGACTTCTACTCGTTACATTTTCACACAAGTATCTGTACTTTCTATTCCTTACATTTTTAAAACAAACGTTACTCGATACTCTTGGCTTTGGTTTAATGCAGAGGTCACGGATTAGAGGACCGCGCAGATTCTCCTGTTACTCCGAAATCCCACATCCTCCATCTCGGCCTACAACCTCCGCTGTTCTTCCTGTATTGCTGTGCTCCAACATATCCTCTGAGCTTCAGGAGAGCATGCTCGATATTATCATTAAATTCTTAGGAGCATAACATGCAGCAGATGTGCGGTTTCTGATGGAGATGAGAAATCTGCTTCCTCGTTGGTGAATAACCAATAGTTTGCATCCAATCATTTGAATAAATGGTGTTAGTTTTTTCAAATATATAAGAATAATGCTCTTATTTGTAGTTAGATCATTAGATGCTTTTAGCTTTGTTTTTTTTTTCTTATTAATATTAAAATGTTTGTATTATTATTTTTTTTTTCAAGCCAAAAAGGACAAACGGACCAGAAGTACCGATCAGCCACAGACGACATCTGCTAAACAGAAGGTAATGGACTGATGAGTAGCAGTGGCCATTGGATAATGCATCCAACCATAAAAAGACTCAATGATCTTCCATTTTATAAATGTATACCGTTTGTTTTACAGGCAGGTGACCATAAAGAGGAGAAAAAGGCCAAAATGAGACAAATAGAATCGTTAGTGAAAGAACTGGAGGAACTGCTTCTGCAGGAAGGTAATACCATTTTTTATTTCTGCAGGTTTTCCTCTTTTCGGACATGTTTTTCCGCCATACGTTACAGTGTTCCTTCTCTGTTCTCAGGACTGAGTTTTATTTCTCCAGTTGTTGGGTTTTACTGCCAGAAATGTGAGGAGTTTATTGGTGATTTGAGTTCTGCTGAGAGCCACACCACCATCCATCTAAGTGTGAGTATCTGTGTTCTTCTTCTGCGTGTTCTGTTTGTCAGGTAGAAAAGCATTTCTGATGCTTGTCCTGCTGAGTAAAAATACTTGATGCATTCATTTGGTGTGTTGTGCAATTATATATTTATTACCCACCCCAGTGTAGGGGTGGTAAATATGTTATTTGATCCGATGATATTCAGACTCCCATATTGTTTCTTGAAGCACACTGGAAAAACCATTTAGAAATGGTTAAAGATTTCTTAAATTAAGTGTATTTACCTTAATTTGAGCAGGTAAAGAAGATGGTTTGCCAATGGTATGAGTATTTTTACTCTTAAAATAAGATGATTAGATAATATGCACTTGAAATAAGACAATGCAATTGTGTTTTCTTATTTTAAGTGTAAATAGTCTTGTTCCATTGGCGAAATGTCTCTTTTACCTCCAAGATCAAATTATTAATATGATTTCGATTTTTTTTTCAGTGCAGACCTACTGGCTGCATTGTTAGAACAACAAATTTAAAGGTTAATCGAGATCAAATCGGGGACAAATGGATAAATCTGCACATTTATGGAATAAATTCTCCACAACTTCCATTAAAAATATTAGTTTATAAACAGAAATCATCCAGCTCCAAGTCAAACATATTTCAGTTAAAAACTTGGCTAAAAACCAGTGAAATTAAACTACTATGTAGAAAGAAGAAGGAAGTACATGGCTGAAAACTATTATAAATAACATAAAGCAATGGTTTCAGAGTTCAGAATGGATTTAATTTTTGAGATCCAAAGAATTTAAAATGAGGTTAAATTAGCTTTGAACTAAATTATTTTCTTAATCAGAAACACAGGACCTTTAGTTAATTGATTCTTAACCTTCTGTGATTGAGCTAGTATCCAGCAAACTGGAGGACATTCATCTTAAATTAGTCTTTTATTATAATTTAGTAATAAAATGTGATGAGGAAACACACAGTTTAACATTATATTAGTGTTTAAACCCTTAGAGAAATAAATCTTGTTTTAGCTTTATAAACAACAGCTCAAACATGTGGGCATGGCATACCATGTGGCTAAATCTCTTAGCTTGCCTTTAGCCAACGGCGAACAAAGAACGTTAGATTCTGATAAACTAGAGTAAATGTAAGATTAAATGTGTAATTTAGTCTGGCCCCGATGAATGAGACATCATAAGATTGTTGATGAGAACAACCCGTTATTTTTCAAACCATCTCTGTGCCTATTGGCCAACGCTCTGACCAATGCGCGCAACTGACTGTGACGTAGTAATCGCGACAGGAGGCTGGTGGGGGAGTGTAAACAAACAGCCTGTCGGTAAAACGGCGAATATGTCCTTCTTAAAAATGAATGAGCGTAGAGCCTCTTCCTGCTCACGTTTCAACGAAAACCCCAAGTCTAATCCTTCCAAAGCTGATTCCAAAGCTGAGTCAAACGAGAACTGTTCAATAGATGTTGCCATCTTCCTTGTTGGGCTTTCTTCCACGTCGCACAGCTTTATCGTCATGCCCTAAAAACCCCGCGCACGCTCTGCATCCAGAAATTCAAAACACATCTCTGCGTTGTGATTAGCCCGCCAGGCAAAAATGATTTTGGCCGCTGGCAGGTGGGGCTAGTTTACTAGGCCAAACAAATTCTTCAGACTGGGAGAATAGAGATATGATGAAAAACGGGTCCCTATGTCCTCCAGCAGTCTAAGCCTATAGCAGCATAACTATAGAGATAGCTCAGGATAACCTGAGCCACTCTAACTATAAGCTTTATCAAAAAGGAAAGTTTTAAGCCTACCTTTAAAAGTAGACAGGGTGTCTGCCTCAAAGACTAAAACTGGTAGTTGGTTCCACAGGAGAGGAGCCTGATAACTAAAAGATCTGCCTCCCATTCTACTTTTAGAAATTCTAGGAACCTCTAGTAAACCTGCAGATTGAGAGCGAAGTGCTCTGTTAGGAACATAAGGAACAATCAGATCTCTGATATCAGATGGAGCTTGGCCATTTAAGGCTTTATATGTGAGAAGGAGGATTTTAAATTCTATTCTGGATTTAACAGGAAGCCAATGAAGAGAAGCCAGGATAGGAGAGATATGATCTCTGTTTTTAATTTTCATCAGAACTCTGGCTGCAGCATTTTGGATCAGCTGAATACTTTTAACTACAGTTTGTGGACTTCCTGATAGTAAAGAATTACAATAGTCCAGCCTTGAAGTAACAAATGCATGGACTAGTTTCTCAGCATCACCCCTGGACAGGATATTTCAATTTTTTTGCAATATTCCGCAGATGAAAGAAGGAAATTCTAGAAGTCTCTTTGATCGTGGATTTAAATGACGGGTCCTGATCAAAAATGACACCAAGATTTTTTTTTTTTAATTCTTCAGCCTCTTTCCCACTGAAAATAGCGGGTTAATGTTCAACCCGCTAACAATCAGCATTTGGCTCCCTTCCCAATGGTTAAAAAAGCTGTTATGACCTCTCGCTGGCAGCTGCGTGGTCTCTGTCCCCCCGCTGCTAGGTGTCTGGTGACATCATCACGCTGGTTTAACGTTGATGATGTTACAAGTGAGATGGAAATCAGGAAAGTAAACAATGGAGAGCAGCATGGAAGGAAGCCAGGACGTAGTCAGTGTGCTTTATTGTTTCTCTCCATTATCTGTCTACATCCCTCTCACCAGAGCTGCTCCACATTTATTGAATGTAAACAGAGTTGTTTCTGTTTGTTAGATCAGAAGAGACTGGCACAAGGTGTTGATGTCCATATGTTGCGTTCAATGGTATCACGTAATCTAGCAGGTCGACCCGGCTCTGGTGTTCCCATAGCATACCTATCAGAGCAGAGGCGATTTTAACGTGGGTCGCTTCCCAAGCTGTCTGACCTGGATGACCTAGGATGTTGTTTCTTGGGGTGGGTATTGGCAGGAAGACATACACAGGCTTCCATGATGTTACGTTGACATGCAGCAAGTGTGTGTGTGCTGAAGATGGTTGACGTGGAAACCCGTGTTTATGCGGGTCTTGTCGTTCTGTCTGACCGGTTAACTTGGCTCCATCTAAAATATTTCACTGCTTTATTTGTTTTTTTCTATTTGTTTTATTAGAAGATGGACAAGCACGGTAAAGACAGCAAAGACTACTCTCAGGGCCACAGCAGCAGCAGCAGCCAGCGCTCCTGTTCAGCTCCCGGTAGTGAGAGAAAGCTGCCATGGAGCTGGAGGAAAGAGAAGGATCACAGGAGCTCGCACCATGGCGGCCTCTCTGAGCAGGGAGGGATCTGCTTAAAAGAAGAGATGAAGAAGGAGAGGATGCTCATAACGGTCAGCCAAGGACAAACTCCTCCAAGCCTCAAAGTGAAACAGGAGAGCAAGGAGCAGGGGAGAGGCAAAGACAAAACGGACAGTGGTGACAAGGCACCCAGAAACAGCAGAGAGAAATGCGAGAAGGAAAAGGCTGAGAGCAGCGACAACAGCGAGGACGACAAATCGCCCAAAGCAAAAACTTTGAAAAAGAAGAAGAAGAAGAAGGATAAAAAGAAGAAGAAGAAGGATTAAGGTTTGTAGATTAGATGACGTATTTAGGTGTTAGATCTGATCCAAAAAAAAAAAAAAAAGTTTTGGTATTTAGGTTTTTGTTACTTTGACCCAAAGAGCAGATTCACCTTCAAACGGTCTTTAACGACTCCGTCTGATGTGTTCCATATCTCTACGAAACGACCAAGATGGATGGGATGTTGATCAGAGTCCAAGCCTCGGCTGTATGGTTTCCTCCTTCAGTCTTTTTATCTTTATCTCTCAGACTGTAGTTTTATCCTGAAACTTAGTAACGCGTGACTGTAAATAGGACTCCCAACATGTCCTTACTTTCTGGTTCCCTCCTTTAAACAAGTTCCACCCCCACTTTTTCTGTTTTTGCATCAGAACTAGGAAACTGTCCTCAGAGTTCAGTATTTTCTAAATAATCTTAATGCTCCTTTTTTCCATTAAATTTTAATGGGATTCATGTTGTCATGCGTTTTATTTTAATTAAAGTAAACAGAAATGTTCAGATTTGAATAAAAATTTGTGAAAAAGCTGCAAAGACTGACGGGCATTAATTTTCTACCATTAGATGTCACATTTCTCTCCTGTATTAACCCTTAAAGTCGTAGGGAAACGGCTGTTCCAACCGTTGCATTTCTGGATTCTCCCAATTGTTGCACGACTTTACACAAGTGAATAAGGTGAATGTGATTGGTTGTTTATCAAGTGGGCGGGGTTGTTGTAGCGGAAGATTCGCAAGCAAGTTTGACTGTGACTGGTTTCTCGATGCATCGTTGCTAACCAGTTAGCAACTTAGTGCTAGTAGGTTCCCAATGGGAAATTCCATTGGGACCAAGTAGCAGTAAATTGGTGACTTAGAAACGACACTGTCAAGGAACGCTATGGACAGAGGAAACATGCAAGAGGAGGAGAGTTTACAGGTGCTGGTCATAAAATTAGAATATCATGAAAAAGTAGATTGATTTCAGTAATTCCATTTAAAAAGTGAAACTTGTATATTATATTCATACATTACATACAAACTCATATATTTCAGATGTTTATTTTGTTTAATTTTGATGATTACAAATGACAACAAATGAAAATCTCAAATTCATCATATCAGAAAATTAGAATATTACTGAAGACCAATAAAAACAAAGGATTTATAGAAATGTTGGCCAACTGAAAAGTATGAACATGAAAAGTATGAGCATGTACAGCACTCAGTATTTAGTTGGGCCTCCTTTGGCCTGTATTACTGCAGCAATGCGGCGTGGCATGGAGTCGATCAGTCTGTGGCACTGCTCAGGTGTTATGATAGCCCAGGTTGCTCTAATAGTGGCTTTTAGCTCTTCTGAATTGTTGGGTCTGGTGTATTGCATCTTCTTCTTCACAATACCCCATAGATTTTCTATGGGGTTAAGGTCAGGAGAGTTTGCTGGCCAATTAAGAACAGGGATACCATGGTCCTTCAACCAGGTACTGGTAGCTTTGGCACTGTGTGCAGGTGCCAAGTCCTGTTGGAAAATGAAATCTGCATCTCCAAAAAGTTGGTCAGCTGCAGGAAGCATGAAGTGCTCTAAAACTTCCTGGTATGTGGCTGCGTTGACCCTGGACCTCAGAAAACACAATGGACCAACACCAGCAGATGACATGGCACCCCAAACCATCACTGACTGTGGAAACTTTACACTGGACTTCAAGCAACGTGGATGAAGTGCCTCTCTTCTTTTCCTCCAGACTCTGGGACCTTGATTTCCAAAGGAAATGCAAAATTTACTTTCATCAGAGAACATGACTTTGGACCACTCACCAGCAGTCCAGTCCTGTTTCTCTTTAGCCCAGGCAAGACGCTTCTGACGCTGTCTGTGGTTCAAGAGTGGCTTGACACAAGGAATGCGACAGCAGAAACCCATGTCTTTCATACGTCTGTGTGTGGTGGTTCTTGAAGCACTCACTCCAGCTGCAGTCCACTCTTTGTGAATCTCCCCCACATTTTTGAAGGGGTTTTGTTTCACAATCCTCTCCAGGGTGCGGTTATCTCTCTTGCTTGTACACTTTTTTCGACCACATCTTTTCCTTCCCTTCGCCTCTCTATTAATGTGCTTGGACACTGAGCTCTGTGAACAGCCAGCCTCTTTAGCGATGACCTTTTGTGTCTTGCCCTCCTTGTGCAAGGTGTCGATGGTCGTCTTTTGGACAACTGTCAAGTCAGCAGTCTTCCCCATGATTGTGTAGCCTATAGAACTAGACTGAAAGACCATTTAAAGGCTTTTGCAGGTGGTTTGAGTTAATTAGCTGATTAGAGTGTGGCACCAGGGGCCATCAATTTTGAACCTTTTCACAATATTCTAATTTTCTGATATGATGAATTTGAGATTTTCATTTGTTGTCATTTGTAATCATCAAAATTAAACAAAATAAACATCTGAAATATGAGTTTGTATGTAATGTATGAATATAATATACAAGTTTCACTTTTTAAATGGAATTACTGAAATCAATCTACTTTTTCATGATATTCTAATTTTATGACCAGCACCTGTAGTGTCGGAGGTCGTGGATGAGTCTCCTCCGTCATCCATTTTTTATTTAGAGGAAGAAAGCGGGGACGAAGATGTTGTGGAAGAGGACGCCAGGGCGGCAGAAGCTTGGTTTGGTGTAGAAGGCTTCCAGCCGTACATGTTTGAGCCCTTGCCTCGTAACGCTGCCAGTTCTGTTAGCTCTACGCCTGCTGAAGACACAGACGTCCACCCCGTGGACACTGGGACAGAACTCAATGGGAAAAGAAAATTATTCTGATTTCTTAAGCTACGACATATGAATCAAGATGCTATGACCGAAAAAATTTGATTGACAGATGACCGTTGATATATGATTGGCCGAATTTAGGTGTTCAGGCTGACGTATAACTAACTGGCCTGCAGAAGATAACAAAGACAAAAATGATTTTAAGACAGGATTTTTTTTTTTTATAAAAATTTTCTACATTTTGTATATGTAGCCAACATTTTGAAGAAGAATATTTTCACTTGGATACTAGCGCGTTGTGGCAAACACCAGATACAGCACTGGGACTTGATCAACAGCAGATACCGCACCGTGTCGTCACAAACCAGTAGGTGGCAGTAGTGTTCTTTGACAAACATGGATGCCTCCAGTAAAAAACATTCAAATGAAAATGACTCTTATTAAAACATTTATTTAACAGAATGTTAAAACTTCATATTTAAAGTGTTTTCAGAAGTTTGAGTTCTGAATATGAGTGGACTTTTCCTTTAATCATTGATATCTCAGGGAGTTCTGCCTCTTTACTCCCTTCTAGTGAGCAGAACCAGTATCACATGTGTAACTGCTGCCTGCTGTTTCTCAGATTATGGGGCTTTGCTGTGCGGTTTGTGTGAAATAATCAGAGGTGTCCAAAGGATTCATGTTTATTACTCCAGTATAAATCCTGTTGTTTAAAAACACTTTTATAGAAGTTAGAGGATCAACTTAAGCTTTTTAACTCCAGTAAAAGTGTAAAAGTACCATTTTAAAACTCAAAGTATATTAAAAAATGTTAAAGACAGAAACTTTACTGCATTACCCTATTAAAGTATAATTTTTCTACAATTGAAGTCAATTCATTGATTCATTCATATAACTAATGGTAACAGTGTCAAAATTATGTATTATGTAATTATTATGTATGTGGTGAACAAGTTTGGGCAGCACCAAGACAACCACATATAAATTGTCTGGATGAAACTAATTATTGTTGATGGATTTTATTATGTTTTTTTAAATACCAACAGGCTATAATAAAAATGAGCTTAAATTAAACTAATGAGTCTATTTTTAAAATGTAAAGAGTAGAAGTAAAAAGTCCAGAGCCGGTGGCGGGTCCACTAAGTCCAGAGCTGGCCGGTACTGAGTCCACTAAGCAAGGGCGCAGGTTTGATTTCCACTTTGGTAGGGACACTATTGACTATCGACTCCAAGTTTTCTATCTAAGGAAAACCAGCTGATTGCATCGACTCATTGACTCAAAGGCAATCCCTCACACTAAGCATGCTTGTAGCGACAGTGGAGAGGAAACACTCCCTTTTAACAGGAAGAAACCTCCAGCAGAACCAGGCTCAGTGTGAGCGGCCATCTGCTGAGGGCGACTGGGGTTCAAGGAGACAGAAGCAGAGATACGAAATCCAACTGTCAACCAGCTTCACATGCGGACAGGTCCAGGAATCACACCGCCAGGCAGACGAGCTTCGAGCCAGCTCCCATGTCAGAGGATGAAGAGAGCACATCTAGCCAGTCACAGTCAGAGAAACAGAACTACACTGGAAAAAATTTTGGTCACTTCAGGCTGCTGTGTGAACGTGGCCTTTCTCCAGCAAGGATGGGTAATGACAATGAAATGAGTCTTCATAAAAGCATAGTCACGGCTATTGGAAAAGATGTCATGACATCTACAGAGGGAGGAGCTTGTTAGACATCTGCGGAGGGAAGTGGCTTTCGCCAAGCTGTCTTTTTAATCATATGCTGTCTTAAATATTTCCTTATTAGACTGGCGCATGGGGCTGCTGTCACTAAGCTGGCGTCTTAATCAATACACCCTTATTAGAAAGACAGAGGCATTTCCTGATGCGAGCGGTAAAACCTTGCGGGGTTCAGATCTCTGTTATCTAATTTGGCAGACTTGTGCTCAATCAGGAATCATTTAAGATTCCTGAGGACTCGACAGACGCAGTGGCTTAGTGACCGCTGTTTGAACTGGCATTCTATACAAAAGCAACGGTGTCCGTCTTAGGCGTTTCCTGATGCAAACCCCTCATGGGTTTGGACCTTGGGAGGGGTGAAAAGTCTGCTTCTTTATTAGATTTGGGAACACCGTGGGGCAGCTGTCGTCAAACTTTTTTTCTGAATGTGCATTATATAGTACATAAAAAAATGGTGGTATCTGTCTTAGGCAAGTCCTAATTCAATCAGCGGATAAGGTGGAGCCAAAGCATCACAAAGCAAAAGATGGAGCTACATACAGCCTATTTAAGAACACTTCTTTGGATCATTTGTGTGAACTGCATGCAGGGCACTAAGGTAAGTCGGATCATGTCGTCACATCCTTCTACCCGTGTTGTAGCTACTCCAAATACATAATACTGGGTCTGAGCTGTCCCAGGAGGTCAACGCATTATTCCCAAGTAAGTTAATTACTAGCTAACTGTATTTATAAGCTACCGCATTTTAGCAGCGTTTAATATACTGTAATGGTACTGAGTTTAAGTTCTAGAGGATCCTTTACGGTCATGTGTTCAGATGAGTTGTGACCTATTGATTAACGCAGTGCCATGGATTTTCTCTGTTTAACACCGCAGACTTTCATTGAGTAATGTCATAGAGCATGAAGTTTGTTTTAGGTTGCTATAAGTTGAGCACACTAGTTTTTGGCAGAAATAACAACTTCACTCTAATTAACCCTATTGGTGAGATTATATGTTCTGTCTCAGGATCATGATATATATTTTAATTATTTGCTAGAACCCTTTGCATTCAAACTGCATGATGATGA